GCAGACACTGATATCTGTGTATTCTTATAAACCCAGCAACCAAATCGCTCACCTTCTAAATTTAAAAAGGAAAAACAGCTTTTGAAAAAAAAAATTAAATAGGGAGCAAAGGAAGGAATGAAAAATCATCTCTGGTCTCACCATCTAGAGAAAACCACTGTTAATATTCTAGCATATACCTTTTTTTTTTTAATTTAACAGAGCATGATTCCCTTTCCAGATTATTAAATATTCTCTACTGACATTTTTAATGGCCTTCTGATTTTTATATCACGCTTAGCAACTTTCCCAAACCAAGATTACATAAATATTCATGTGCATTTTCTTTAAGTACTTTTATGGTCTCAAGTTTCACATTTACATTCTGAATCCATGTAGAATTTATTTTGGTCTGTGATGTAAAGGATGGTTCTAATTTTAGCTATTCCAAATGTTAGTGGAAATGTCATTTTTGGCTCCCCAGCATTTGGACACCTTCCTTTCTGAGTTGATGCAACAGGGCCCTGCCTCCCACCACCGTACGAAGGTGGGCAGACATCCCTTTCCCCACCCCCAGCAGTAAAGATACAGGCCTGTGACCGAGGCTCTGCCTGTGGATGCTCCTGCCTGGGTCTCAGAATCTTCACAGAGTGACTGAAACACACAAGGGCCATTCGAATTTGGTCATGGTGTCAGTGGTGGGATCTCACGTCCCATAACAGCTTCAGCAGCACGGCAGCATCCTAACCATCCTCTCCAGTGGCTTGAGGGAGGCCCTATTCCTAGCTTCTTAGCATCTCTTGGTTGCTGGCATCTTCTGAACTTGGATTCCCACTGACTCTGAGCTGCCCAATATCCCTTCTGTAAATGTGTCTCTGCTTAAACATGCCAGAACTATTTTCTGCAATTTTCAACCCCAAATACGGACTGAGAAAGTTAGCTACGTGTTGAACACCACCATTTCATAAATAATCTGTACTTTTCCACTGAGGAATCACTCTCTTTACTATCTATGACTTCCCTAATACATGCAATTGAGATCGCTTTTTAGACTTGAATTTCTTTTTTTTTGCGGGTGGGAGGGGTCTGTCCCCATGACAGTTTCACATTCTTTATCACTGAAATACTATATTATTATCTGTAGAATAATTTCTCCTCTCTTTTTCCTCAAATTTTCTTAAATGTTGGCATGCATTTAATTCTTCCCATTATATTCTTGAATTTGTCATTCACGGCATATAGAAAACAATTCTTTAAAAATTAGTCATTTATTTAACTATGTAATAACAGAACTTTTCTGAGATATAATTCACATACCATAAAGTTCAATCTTTTAAAGTATACAGTTCAGTGATTTTTAATATAGTCACCGAATCATGCATCCATCAGGACTAATTCCAGAGGAATCAGATTACCTCCAATTAGAGGAATTAGATTAGAATTAGGAATTAGAGGAATTTTCACTACCCCCAACCCAAACCTACACCCATTAGCAGTCAGTCTAGATTCTCTCCTCTCCTCAAGCCCTGGTAACCTCTAGTCTATCTTCTGTCCCATGGATTTGCCTTTTCTGAACATTTTGCAATCATATAAACGTACATGGTCTTTGTGTCTGGTTTCACTCATTTAGCAAAATCTCAAAAAAAAACCAAGGTTCAGCCATGTTGTGGCATGGACCAGAACTTCATATTCCTTTTTATGGCTGAGTAATACTCCATTGTATGAAAACACCACATTTTATTGATCCACTCAGCAGTCAACGAACATCTGGGTTGTTTTCACTTTGGGGCTATTATGAGCAACACTGCTACGAATATTCATGTACAAGATTTTGTGTGAGCATTCGTTTTCACTCCTCTTGGGAAACACCTGGGAGTTAAATATAGTACCTCTGTGTTTAACATTTTGAGGAACTGCCAAACTGTTTTCCAAAGCAAGTGCACCATATAACATTTCCACCAGCAACGTATGAGGGTTCCAGTTTCTCCACATCTTCATCAATGCTCACTGTCTTTTCGGTTCTAGCCATCCTACTGGGTGTAAACTTTGATTTGGTTTCCCTAGACTAATGATGTAGAACATCTTTCTCATATGCTTTTTGGCCATTTGTGTATCTCCCTTGGAGACATATTTATGCAATTCCTTTGCCCATTTTTAAATTGGGTTAAATGCCTTTTTACTGTGAGTTGTTAAGAGTTCTTTCTACATTTCAGATATAAATCTCTTATCAGATATCTGATTTGTAAGTATTTTTTCCCATTTCTGTGGACTTTTTCTTGATGGTATTCTTTGAAGCACAAAATTTTAATAAACTACAATTTATTTTTTCTTTTGTTACCTGGCTTTTGTCTTATCTAAAAAAATCACTACTTAATCTAAATGCATAATAATTTACACCTACTTTTCTTCTAAAAGTTGTATTTTTAATTCTTACATTTAGGTCAATGACCCATTTTCAATTATTTCTTGTATATTGTGTGAGGTTTGGGTTCAAACTTCATCATTTTACATGTGACCATTCAGTTGTCCCAGCAGTATCTAATTATTCTGGCACTGTTGTTGGAATCAATTAAGTATACATATATGGCTTTACTTCTTGACTCTCAGTTCTGTCCCATGTCTACATCCAGTAGCACACTATGTCTTGATTATTGCAGGGTTGTGGTCAGTTTTGAAATCAAAAGTAGAAGTCCTCCAACTTTGTTCTTCCTTTTCAAGATTGTTTCAGCTATTCTGAGTCCCATGCAGTTATCTATTAATCTTAGAATCAGCTCATCAATTTGTGTAAAAAGGTCGCTGAGATTTGATAGGGACTGAATTGCATCCGGAGTTTAATTTGGGGTACTGCCATCTTAACAGTATTAAGTTTTCTAATCCACGACCATGAGATGTCTTTCTACTTATTTACATTCCTCCAATGATATTTTAAAGTTTTTAGTATACGAGCCTTACACTTACTTGGTTAAATTTATTGCTTAACTTACTTATTAAAGTAGTTTTTTTTGTTGTTGTTGTTGGTTTCTTAGGGTTTTTTTTTTACATACAAGATCATGACATCTGCAAACAGAGATAGTTTTCCTTCTTCCTTTCCACGCTGAATACCTCATTTTGTTTTCTTGCCCAACTGCCCTGGCTAGAACCTCTAGTACAATGTTGAATAGAAGTGCTGAGAATGAGCATCCTGCCTTGTTCCTGGCCTTCCGGGGAAAGCATCTAATTAATCATTAGATGAGGATGATACTAGCTACAGGCTTTTCATAGACAGCATTATCAGAATGAGGAAGTTCCCCTCCAGTCCTCGTGTTTTTATCATGAAAGGGTATTGGATTTTGTCAAATGCTTTTTTTTAC